AGACTCCAAAAACGTGGGGTTTCATTGCAGTTGCCACTGACTTGCTATACTCTCAAGTCTGTCATACCTCTGGGCTTCTGTTTCTCTGTAAATAAAACATGGATAATTATGTATATCCATCCTAAGTCATGGAGTTTAAATGAAGATCAATGGAAATGATTAAAATTCCTTTGATATGCAAACCATATTTATTTTCAATTGAGCAATAAAGGCAATAGAAAAAAATCATTGTGTAGCCAGCCACAAGTTGGCTTGCTTTTGAAGGAATACAATATGTTGAGCCTGTTTCATAACATGTGGGACCTTCAAGGTTGACCACAAAATCTACTTAAGCCTATTGTGAGTCTCAGGTTTTATTTACTGTGGTCATGAAGGACACAATGCGTAACTAATACTGCACCACTCAAAAATCCCCACAGGGTATTTCTCTACGTGGTGGAAGCTACCCTGGGATTTCTCCCTGTCCTCCAGTCCCTTTCCCTGTGGCCCTCGGCCCTGCTCAGTTCTATCTCCTTGGAGACTTTGCTTAGTCCCTGCAGAACAGCATCTTCTCTTCATCCCAAGTTCCAGGTGACTCCGAAGCACTGGAGACCCAGTCCCTAAGCAGCCTAATCAAAGGATTCACCCAAACAAAACTGGTCTTCTCTGAAACTGGATTTTCTTTCCAGTTGCCTAGAAAATAATATTTTCTGCATATGGTCATAATCAGTTTAAAAGCACCAAGCTGAAGGCCTAATTCTATTGTCTTCTAGCCAACAGCCAGAAGGCCTTTATTCTTTATGATTTGCTGACAGTCCACAGATGAATAAAGAACGTTTTTTTTCCTTTTTGTCATTTCTCTAGCACGGACATAGTATTACAATGAGCCAGTTACTACTCTAAGCCCTTTTATAAATATTAACTACTTGTTATTCATCAAGAACAAGCCCACAAGACAGGCATCATCCATCATCGTCATCACTCTGTGGTGCACTGCAGCGCGATTCTGAGGCTGACCACCTAGAGTTAGCAGGGACCACGCAAGTTAAGGGCATCATCTCCAACAAGGCTGCTCCCACTCAGATGCCAGCCACACATTTTGGAGACTTCATGCCATCACACTGGGACTAACTAGCTACAAATCTGGAGGTTCCCATAAGCCCCTCAGGTTAGATAATTCACTAGAACTCACAGAACTCAGGAAAACACTATGCTTGCTACTATTACAGCTTTATTGGAGCAGATACAAACCAGGATCAGCCAAATGAACAGATACACAGGGAGAAGGGTCCTGAATACAGAGGTTCTGTGTCCTCTCTCTGTGGAGTCAGGGCACCTCACCATCCCAGAAGATTGATCTGCTCACCAACCAAAAAGCCCCACCAAGCTTGTTGTCCAGAGTTTTTACTGGGGTTTCATTATGTAGGCATGACTGACTCAATCATTGGCCACCAGCTTGAACTCGGTCTCCAGTCTTTCTCCCCTCCTGATGGTCAGGCTGGCTCAGCGCCCCAGTCTTTTAATCACATCACTGGATTTTCTGGTGCGACCAGCCCCATCCTTGAATCACCTTGTTAGTATAAATGTAAATATGATCCAAGGGACTTCTGAGTAATAAAAACACTTGGGATTTCTGAGGCGTTAAGAGTCTCCTCTCTCAGGAGGCAGGAATAAAGGCCTGGCAAAATTCTTTATTATACAACACCCACATTTTATACTTGAGGAAAACTGTGGCAAAGAGTTTCATTCAATTACCCAAGACACGGAGCCAGCAAGTGCAGAGCCCAGTAAGGGAAATCTCTCCCAGATTACAGACTGTCTTCTGAAGTTGTCATATTAAACACTCATCCTAAACACTCACTGACAATGTGTCATATCTAAAGCTGAGTGACCACAGCAGTGAAACTCAGATCAACAATTTCCTCTTTAAAGCCAAGTCAAAAGTTTTAGAATCACAAATAAGATTGACCTACTCCCTGAAATAATGTAAGATTGAGTATATTTGTGTGTTACGAGTCAAGTAACTAAAGTCTGTGTATCAGACAGGGATGTAAAAATAAGATGGTGATAGAAAGTACTTTTAGATGAAATGACATTCATGTAAACTACTTTGTACAAATCCTGACACCTTCTAACTGTACAACAAAGAGCTTTTTTTGTTGTTATGGTAAGTTATCATTACTGTTATTATTAATAAATGAAAACCCACAACAGTTTAGTAAGCTCCTGTATTTGGGCATTGTGCAGAATTTTTGTGGCTTCCAACTCAAGGATTCCATGAAATAGCATATTAGAAACAAAAGTTGGCACATATCAGAACTTCCAGGTGACTAAAAACGCTGGGAGAGCATTTCCACATTCAAACACCAAAGGGCCTATTCAGCAGCAGCAATAACAGCAAATGAGGCACTGAGATATATATCTAAGGACAGAAAAGACAGCGCAGAGAGGAGGCACGCAGTCAGCAGGAAGGAAAGAATGCAGTGGGGAACAGCAGAGTCAAGTATGAGAAGCTGTTGTAAATTTAAAGCAGAGAGAGGAAACCGAAAACTTTACAGATAGAGACCAGACAGAGAATATTATCCATGGAAGGACCTTTGCAGTTAAATCTAAGCTGCTCATTTGAGACATGAACTTCAAAGTCGGGCAACAAACAAAGATCTTAATAATGTTCATTGGATAGAAGAGAGCTTAGGAAACATGAAATATGGAATAATCTGATAGTGTAGGAATTTCCTATTAATTATATATTGAAACAAAGAAAGGCATTTACTACCCACAGTGGGACACAGCAGAAGGGGCATTCTTATCCTGGCTAACTCATGATTTGTCAGACAAAATGAATATTAGTTGACAGTGGAAAGAAAATTTGACTCTTATGCTGAAATATTAGAATGAGTAAACCATGCAATTCTTTCTTAAATTTTTAGCAAAATATATTCTGGAGGTCAGCCAGCATGGCTTAGTGCTTGAACCTTGACCTATAGACCTGGAAGGCAGGGCTCCATTCAGGTCAGGGCACATGCCCGGGTTGCGGGCTTGATCCCCAGCGGGAGGCGTGCAGGAAGCAGCCGATCAATGACTCTCTCATCATTGATGTTTCTCTCTCTCCCTCTCCCTTCCTCTCTCTGAAATCAATAAAAATATTATATATACACATATATGTATATATGTGTGTGTGTATATATATATATATATATATAAATACTGGAAAAATGTAAAAAAAAAGTCAACTTTATAATGCAAATACATAGGAATTTTGGGTTAAAACTGATGAAGAACCACAATTCAGATGAGGTAATACATGATAAGTTTTCAGAATGAGGGCGAGAGATAAAAAGTGAGAAAGGAAAGATTTACTGAAAAAAACAGATTATATAGAGAAGAGGAGAAGGCTTTTAAAGGTCTTCCTAATTCTACGCTTCTCATACTGAATATGCCCTGTTCTTTCTTAGGCAAAATCATGAAGCTAAAGAAGCAATGCCGTGCAGTGGAAGGCTTGCCCCTGCCTGGAGCACAGGAAGACTGACCAATGTTTCAGTCCCTACGTGCTCTGTCCCTTTCTTCCTAGAATTTTGTGTTGTTCTGCGTTAATTTCTCCTTTGCTTCCTAAAGTAGAGGGATTTCTGGAAACAGCTGAAGACCAAGCTTCATATTTAAAATTCAGGAATTAAAGCCTTTAAGAATTCAATTGATTTAAATGAATGAAATTTGTATTTTCATGGAACAATAGCATCTGAACAGACTGAAAGGGTCTGCAGAAAACTGCAGCAATGTTCAGGAGAGGAGAGAGCAGAAAATGCAAACTGTCTCCAAATACCCTGTCTGAACCACAGACTCAAAACAACTGCTTTGTGAAGAAATACTGCTTTGTAAATGATGTATGAGAGATTTTTTAAAAATCCATTTATATCTCCTGTTAATCATGTAAATTATCTGACACACTTCATATACAGGGTGGGGCAAAAGTAGGTCTATAGTTTTTCATACGGAAATAATATAATAAATACATAATAATATAAGAATAAACTCTTTCATATTCTCACAACTATAAATCTACTTTTGCTCCACCCTGTATGTTCTCTATCAAAAGAATGGCATGTTGAAAATGTCCCAACACATTTCAGTAAATGTGTTGTCTAAATCAATCACTATGGTGAGATCAAAATAAACTAACACCAACAAGCATTATTTTTCTTCTCAACAATACACACATTTATCAGCTTTAGAGAATGTTTTGCCCATTATAATGTTTGTGAGTTTGTTCATGGGGGAAGTTTCAAGTGTCCATATTTTTCCTTTTCATGCTAAAATAAGACCTAAAAGAGTAGATTGTACAAAGTTAACTTTTCTGCATTAAAACACGGTAATACTTAGTTGTTATTTCATCATGTCTATTTGCTCCTGGTTCATATAAAGACAGTGAGAAAAAATGTGGTAAATTCTAACTGAACCAAGACATCCAGTTCCACAGATAAAAGAATGTATCCTTGAAGAAGGAAAGCAAGTTCATATACGTAATAACAATTTAGAAGGTGTATATAAAAAATAAAATGAAGACAATAAACACCAGATAAAATGTGTCAAACTAATGCATTATAAAATAATATTTACAAGTGTACTTAGCTTGTTATCCTTAAACTAGCCAAGTTTTTTCAGAGTTAAAAAAACTTAAAAGTATTTAGCCATTATGACAGTCATTGGAAACCTTATATACCAGTTTGGCTAAAAATACAGAGTGTGTTTAAAATATTAACTTTGATCCTGTGGGGACAAATATATCTAAATAGTAATGCTTTTAAAATCAGAGGGTTTTCATAAGAGTATGCTAAACTCATCATTGTCAACAAGTATTTTTTGATAAATATACTGACATGTAGCTTCAATTCTCTAACTTTTAGTTGAGAGACAGACTTAATATTGACTGTAAAATGACTGGTGGCTAGAGGGAAGACAAATGAGGCTAATTCAGCGAGAAGAGAGCCAGGTCTGTGACTTGCTCATGGTGGGAAGGCACTTACAGCTTACTGGGAAGCGCCGGCAGGTCGTGCAGGATCTCCTCGTAGGGCTCCTCTTGCGCTAGGGGAGGCGCCGATAAAGGCTCCTTCGTCTTCTCTTCCCAAGCAGTTTCGGCCTTCAGCAGCATTTCCTCAATAAACTCGGAGGCAGCGAGATCTACGCGAAACAATAAGAAAATCAGCTAAAGGGAGTGGGGAGGCCACAGAAAACTCTTTACTTTCAATACTTCTGAAAATGCTAAACTTTATCAGCACACGTGGCAAAAATTAAAACATGAAAACTTTACGGTAAGAATAAAATTGTAGTACTGCTATTTAAAAAGACTGTCTTTTTCATATTAGTGACATGTTTAACTGCAAATGAAATGAAAAAATATAAAAATAGTTTTCACCGAGTGGTGACAAGTGAAAATGTAAATCGCTGAGAAGCTGAGCTTGAGAGAACTTAATGTCATTTTATTTTCAGTAAAACTCTTCCTTCGTCTTGGTGAATAGGAACCATAATGAGAAAAATAGTTATACATTCAGAATGGCTGGGCTACTATAAAACACATAGCAAGCTTTCTAAAACACTTTACTCAATGCATAGTACAAATAAATACTCAGCTGTGTTATCAAAAAGTGGGTCTAGCCTCTCAATCTAAAATATGAATTATTACAGTTCCTTATAAAGTATATTAACAGTGGCATCTCAACATATCTGGACAGCAACAGAGATGGGCATTCATCAAACTTACACTTATTAACAAATGATGCTTGAAATCAATAAATCCTGAAGAAAAATTCACATTGGGAACCAAAAGGAGTCGCCTGCTCCTTTTCAACCCTCATAACTAAACTGCATGCACCTTTGTCTATAAATCTGACTTATGTGGCTTTATGGGCTGGATGCAGTCATTCAGCCGCCACAGGAAGGTATTTATGCCATGACTTTATCATCATTTGCTTTAGATTAAATCATAATCACGTAATGAATAGGAAACAGTTCAGGTTCCTTGCCTGGGGAGATTATTTCTGCCTTGCCTAACAGCTACACCCTGAATTGCTCCAGATAATTTTTATGCGTCCATTCTAAGTTTAAGAAACACAAAATAGCAAGAATATAATATAGTACTGTGATAATTTTCATTTGCTCAGTCATAAAACGGGTGTCAAGTTCCTGTTCTCTGCACCAGTGTTTTATCTGGTTCATTCTTCTTGCTCTTGGGTAAGATGCTGGGATATCCTGCATTTACTTGAAACATCTCACTGCATTATAGCTCTTTGTCCCTTGTGTGTAAGAGAAGTATTTTCGTTCAATCAGCAAGTGGTTATTGAGGGTCTACTATAGTCACATCACCGTGTCTCTCATGACCACCATGGCCCAGAAAAGGGATTACGCTGATGGTAGACACGGCGTGACCAACATGGGCAAAATTTTCTGTAATCACACACTATGCCTGAGGTGACCAGGCTGAGTCTAGACCAGAAGTTTAGTGATTCCCTAGGGCTCTAGGATTGTCAATTAGCTTGTATGTCCATTTGGTACAGCTGACATTAGGGTGAAAGTGTGAAAAATGGGAGTCTATGCAGNTTGTATGTCCATTTGGTACAGCTGACATTAGGGTGAAAGTGTGAAAGATGGGAGTCTATGCAGGTAAGGGTCAATCATATGTTCCCTTCTCTGGGCAAGAAGCCAGGGATATGAGCTTGAAACACGTGATCTTTTAGAACCAGAATAGAGTTAATGGAGGGTATGACTTATATTTTATATTTGTTNGGTAAGGGTCAATCATATGTTCCCTTCTCTGGGCAAGAAGCCAGGGATATTAACTGGAAACACGTGATCTTTTAGAACCAGAATAGAGTTAACAGAGGGTATGACTTATATTTTATATTTGTTAAAAAAACAAAGAAAAAAACTATTAATTCATATTTGCTCCTTTAATATTTACCATTAGACAAGCTTTAGTTCATGTTAAAATTATTACACTATCATTATTAATATTAGCCTTTTCTAAAGTTTGTGACTATCAAGCTATCATAGTTCTGTTGTTAAATTGTCAGTTTATTTCAGTAGAGAAGATGAAAGAACACTCAACAATGATACTTAATTCCAATACACTAAGAAATAGAGCAAATCGCTCATCCTGCCTTAAACTAGAGGTTTATCAGGTAATCATACTCCTTCCCCAAAGCCTATCAAATAAGAAATCTCAAGTCAGTAGTTACAACAACAAGAAAAGTAAAATAGATATCAATTATTCAGATCAATTACTACCTTCAAAATTTTTATATTATTTTGTTACTTACACTAGACTTTTCTTTTTGTTACCAAAATAATTTATGAATAGTAAAGTTTTTGTCAAATTTTCTAAAAGCCAAAAGATGACTGTGACATTTATTTTTAAAATACACAATATCTGAATACATAAAAGAACACTGGTAAAAAGAACTCTAGCCCTGGCCAGGTGGTTCATTTGGTTGGAGAATTGTCCTGTATGCCAAAAAGGTTACGGGTTCAATCCCCAGTCGGGGCAGTTATGCAGGCAGGCAATCAATGTTTCTCTCTCACAGAGATGTTTCTTTCTCTTTCTTTCTCTCTTTTTCTTTCCACCCTCCTTCTTTTCTTTAAAATCAATAAAAAATAATAAAAACTTAAAAAAGATATCCTAGGGTGAGGATTTAAAAATACCTCTAGAATTGTTCAAAAAAATGTTTATTTAAAATAAGTAATATTAAATTAAGATTTTCAAACTTTTAAATTATCTTTAGAATATTAGCCTCTACTTCTTGCAGTATAAATATCTGTGCAGAAAAAAATACTATTACTGTTTAAAAATGCCCTAATGAAAAACCATGTATTAACTGTGATGAGAAACTCATTAAAACAACAGTAAGAAAATATTTTAAAGTGCAGGAATCACCGCTCTATTAAGTTTAAAGCCTGAAAAGCAAACTGTAATGAAGTACACAGGAACCCATAAACTTAACTGCTCTCTAATGCCTCTTGTCCTGGAGCAGTGCATCTGAATTATGAATCATGTTATATTGGGATGGTTTTCACAGAGCTTTTCAGGCGAGGTTGACTCTCATTACCTAGATCTACTCACAATAGATAAATAACTTACATATATGACAGGAAGGAAACAGTGAATGCTCAGGGGTCCCAGGATACTCATAACCTACCTGAGGCCTTCTCCTCATTGCAGTTCAGGAGGTTTGGATTTGCCTGATGCATCAAAAGAAGTTTCACCAGGTTTGTCTGAAACATTAGAGGTAATTGAAATAGGAAACATCATGCTGGATACTGAAGACTCATCAGTAAATAATACACAGTCATGGCCTCCAGGGGCACTTAAGGTTGGAGAAATGAGAATGCATTAGCATAACCTACCATGCTAAATGTTTCTTACATTCTCTGTTTCCTGTGCCTTTGTAAAAATAACACACATACACATTATTTCAGCAATTAACGAACTCAAACCAAACACCACTTATCAAATGGGAGATAAATCAGATAAATCGCTAAGGATTTGAAAAAGTGCACTTAACACTTCTTAGGTTGGTTGTAGGACAACTCTGCTGGGAGGAATTATATGTTATCACATGTTTGTTCTTTTAATTCAGCAATTCATGTGTCTCACTTATTGGTACTGTCTATATATTATAGCACTGTGGGCAATACAAACCTGAAGTCTCATTGGAGAATTAGAAAAACAATCTCAAGTTATAAGAATTAAGCAACTTGATGAGAGATTAACACATTATTTTANATTAAATCTTAAAACTTAAGATTAACACATTATTTTTAAATTATTATAAAATACAGCAACAGGGTGTACATATAATGTATGTGTACCATTGAAAGAGCAATAATGAAATAAATTCCAGTGCACTCAAATGTTAAATACATCATTAATGATGTTTTTGTGTGTTCCTCCTAAAACTTATCCCTCTTCCTACTTCCCAGAGTTGACCACCACCACGAATTTTGGATTACCCATTACTATGTTTTCTTTATAAGTTTAGACCTTATATACAGACGTATCCCTAAACAACAATTGCTTAATTTCATCTTTTTGTGACATTTATAAAAATAAATCCTGGTGAATATATTCTTCTATGGTTGACCATGGGTGACTGAAACTATGTAAAGCAAACTACTGTAATCACCAAAACTATCAAAGGTTAAGGTGACTGACATTGTGTGTGTGTGGGGGAGGGTGGTATGTGAAAGAAAACACTGCATAGCTAGTAGAAAATGTGTTTAAGCTAAAATTTAAAATTATACAAATTACTAAATATAGACTTTAACTCGTTCCCTTGACAGTTGTACTTCATTTGGGATAAGTTGAGCAGAATTAATCCTTGGTGGTTATTTCAATTACCTTNATGGTTGACCATGGGTGACTGAAACTATGTAAAGCAAACTACTGTAATCACCAAAACTATCAAAGGTTAAGGTGACTGACATTGTGTGTGTGTGGGGGAGGGGGGTATGTGAAAGAAAACACTGCATAGCTAGTAAAAAATGTGTTAAAGCTAAAATTTAAAATTATACAAATTACTAAATATAGACTTTTACTCATTCCATTGACAGTTGTACTTCAGTTGGGATAAGCTGAGCAGAATTAATCCTTGGTGGTTACTTCAATTATCTCNAGACTTTAACTCGTTCCCTTGACAGTTGTACTTCATTTGGGATAAGTTGAGCAGAATTAATCCTTGGTGGTTATTTCAATTATCTCTAAAAAGTTTCAAAAATGTCAATGAGTTTGGAGATAATCAAATTCCTAGTTCAGAAGCTAAAAGAGATTGTTTCACTTAATTTAATAAAGAGAAATTATGATGTTAAAGGTCAGTGGAAAATTCAGAATTTGTGTATCTTATGCTCACCAGTACATTCTCTACATTGTAATGAGTAAATGCATCTAACTCAGAACCATCTGAAGAACTTCAGACCTAAAAATATAAAAATGTCAGACAGATCCTTAATATGAACTCTATTTTTAATCCTAACTGTGATTTCTTAATCAAATAGTTCTTCTTTCATCCCTCAAATACATGCTTTCTAATCCCACAAGTACTCTGCACGACTGTCCTGATTCTTTCAGGAAACACTCCTCCTTTACTTCCATGCAGCAGTGTCATTCTCCAACGTCCATTCCACCCCAGACTCCTCTGATAAACCTTTTCACACTATTAGATACAATATTGCCCATAATATTTTGTGCTAAATTGAACTCCCTTTCCATTTTGCAAGATTCCCTGAGTAATCTATTACAAATCTCNTTCCACCCCAGACTCCTCTGATAAACCTTTTCACACTATTAGATACAATACTGCCCATAATATTTTGTGCTAAGTTGAACTCCCTTTCCATTTTGCAAGATTCTCTGAGTAATCTATTACAAATCTCTCTTTCCAGACCTACCCAATANACACTATTAGATACAATATTGCCCATAATATTTTGTGCTAAATTGAACTCCCTTTCCATTTTGCAAGATTCCCTGAGTAATCTATTACAAATCTCTCTTGCACATGCCCAAGTATCTCCTGGATATCTCCAAAAGGATTTCTTCCACTGGCAAACCAGTTTCAGGTTTTATATTCACTCACCCACTCTTCACACATTTATTCAGTGATCCGCCACTGAGAAAGACAAGCATCTGCTAAACTAGGACATTCATCAACTCTCTCATTAATAAATGGTAACTGAGTAGTGTCCAGCCCTGTGCTGATAAAGAAATACACACTATACCTGCACTTAAGTTCTTGCAAACTAGAGAGAGGGTGATATGAACACATGAGACAATTCCAACACGCTGTGATAAGTGACGTGACACCAATGACACAAGGTGCTACACAGGGTGCATGGGGGGACCCGTTTCACAGGAATTTAGGAAATTAGTAACGACAGCTAGTAAAGTAACATCTTGGTGTTAAGTAACATCTCAGTGTAGCCCTTCAAGGTTAAGTCAGATTTGACCGCTCAACGCTTTTGGGAAGAGCAAAGAACATGAGAAGGATGTACATGGTGGCATATTCCAGAAACAGAGAAGTCCAGTACGGCTACGTGCTCTCGCCTGTTGGGGGGAAGCAGGAGAACCAGAGCTGGAGAGTTAAGCAGAATCCCAGGCACAGGGGCCTCTGAACTATGCTACAGAGCGGGCACTTCATGTCACCAGCCGTGGGAAGGACGTTGTGTGGAGTTAGTCTGATTATTTTTGCATTTAGAATGGAGTGGGGAAGGCGCAGGGAGCTCTGCTAGGAGGCGGGCGGGTTAATCCTGATGCGGAGACGCTGCAGCACTGGGTGGGGGGAGAGACTATGCGGACACACAGATTAACTGGTCACGGTTATAGCTCCAATAGCTCGTACCCATTTGCTAGGTAAGAGCTTTGGGGCTCAGGGGTCTATTAGACTTGGGTGGAAAGGAGAGGTAGGGAAAGAATAATGCCCAATAAATGATGAAACGAAGGAGGGCAACAGATTGGGNGTGGAAAGGAGAGGTAGGGAAAGAATAATGCCCAATAAATGATGAAACGAAGGAGGGCAATGGGAAAAAGGTTCTAATTCTCTCTACACAAACTGAGTTTGAAGGCAGGTTGATAGGGGTTACCCTCTGGGCACTGGTCCTCTGGGGTTGGGAACCTGGGAGAGAAACAAGAGGAGGGGAGGCTCTGGGCGTCATGAGCATGCAGAGTATTTGAAGCTGTAGGAGGGGAGGCTCCTAAAGACATACAAGTATTGAGAAGAGAGGGAACCTAGGATAGAGCACTGAGCTTATCAATACTGGGTGCTCAGAGGGATAGGAGGAAAACCAGACAGTGTTTTTATTTTTTTCCAAAGCAAACACAAAACATCTGAAGCGAAAAAGACCTCTAAATATATCTCAGTTCTTAAGTACTGGGGTAAGAATGTGTTTGAGAATACAAATTACTCCTTTGAACATCAAGATATATGGGTTGTGTGATGCAAAATACTTTTGAAAGGAAGGATATTTAGATTTCAGCATTTTACAATTATTTTCATGTTTCTTGTTGTAATATTACCAATGCTTTATAAACAGGAAAATATGTACAAGGCTAGAATCAAATTTTATCTTATGTACAACTCATGAAAGAATGGTTGCTCATATAACTTACCTAGTTCTCATTTTTAGAGAACAGGCATTTTTTTTTTTTGTTCTCAATGGAAAAGTTAATGTATGTAAAAAGGGAAGTTTTAAAATACATATGCCACCCAGTACAAATGTCAATAATAAATACTGTAAATACTGTTATAAATTATAAACTACCTTCTCCAAAAAGGTATTTATATTCATAAGATATTTATAGGAAAGTGAAACTGCTGTGAATGTCTCTAAAAATGCCATGACTCTTTCGAAAATGTTAGCATTTCTCAAGTTTTTTTTTATTGAGATGCATTTATTTACAGTAAATGTCTTTAGAGAGCTATATCTCTCCCATGCATATAAATTGATATTTAAATAAAACTAGCTTCTTAAATGCCATTTCCAAAACGAATAATAAGTTGTATTTTATGGGTAAAGAATTTTTGCAATAACTCTAGGTATCACATGGTATATTTTGACAAAATAATCAAGATACAATTTACTCAAAATCTTCTATTAACATAAACTTCTTAGTTATTTTTGTAGTTTGAATTGAGGAAGAACATTTTGGTTCTGGTGTCATATACCCTAACATTAAATCCTCACTCTACCTTGCGCATTAGAACTTTGCTCCTAGTTCTTGGCTGGCTGATTTGTCCATTCGATTCCTGCCGTTACTCTTCTGGACACAGGGATGGCTCAGTGGGCCACACAAATCATGTCCCCACTGTTTTGGAGCTTACATTCTGGTGGAGACCCCATTCCAGTAGGTTTAACGGAGCAAAATGGAAAAGACATATATAATCTTCAGATCCTATCCTTCCTACTAAAATATACAAGGATTTAGAAAATAATGAAGTAATGGCTAGCCATTTTCTAGAGAAGCAGAGATAAAGGTTGAAATGGTCTTAAAATCCTGCCTCATTTGCACACTAGAAATGGCCATTTCTAGAAGACATTATGTTCGACACCTATCGTACAAATCTAGCGGCTGGATCAACGGACTAGGACACATGCCCTTTGAGGCTTAAGGGATGCATTTGCCTTCCTTATTCTCAACAATCTTCTGAGCTATGTAAAAATTCTCCTGTCAACAGATGCATTGATGGTTCTCATTAATTGAAGACCCGGGGGGCTAGGCTGTGTGGAAGAAGAAGAATTAAGGCTTATTAGGTTCAAATGGCCAGCAAGTGGTACCTGGTACTCAGAGCCAGTGAGGAGGCCAAGGAAGTTCTCAAAACACAGCTGGCTTAACCATTTCACAGGGCAGATTCAAATATAGGTGTGTTTGTGTGGGGGGAGTGTCTGGAACATAGAAGAAAGAATAGGAAATCTGAAAAAAGTGAGAAATAGCCTGGCCGGCATGGCTCAGCGGTTGAGCGTCGACCTAGGATCCAGGAGATGGTGGTTTGATTCCCGGTCAGGGCACATGCCCGGGTTGCGGGCTCCATCCCCAGCAGGGGGCGTGCAGGAGGCAGACGGTCAATGACCCTCTCATCATTGATGTTTCTATCTCTTTCTCCCTCTCCCTGAAATCAATAAAGATATATTTTTTTAAAAATTTAAAAAGTGAGAAATAATGGTTTCTAAAATTTGGGGACAAACATTTTGCAGCTGGGTTTGAAAAAAATAAAGCCATTGGAAAGTTTCTTATTCACCTGACATTAATAAATGATGAGTGTTGTAAATGTAGCTGGCACACTGGAGATGTAATAAAAACATCAATCTTAATTACTCTGTATTTGCAAAGCAAATGCCCCTTTTGAATCATAATTTCCCATGTAAGTTCAAGACTATGTTTCTCTAGGCTGAAAATGTAGATTTAGAAAACCCAAAGTTCAGAGAGATCTTAACCATTTGTGACAGCATAGACAGACCTAGAGGGTATTGCGCTGAGTGAAATAAGTCAGTCAGAGAAAGATAAATACCATATGATTTCACTTATATGTAAAATCTAAAGAACAATATAAATGAACAAACAAAACAGAAACAGACTCATAAATACAGAGAACAGACTGATGTTTGCCAGATGAGAGGGGAGTTGCGGCGATTGGGTAAAAGAGGTGAAGGGATTGAAAGGACAGATTGGTAGTTATAAAATAGTCATGGGGATGTAAAGTACAGCATAGGAAATATAGTCAATAATACTGTAATAATTATGCATGGTGCCAGGTGGGTACTGGAAATATCAGGGGAAACATTTTGTAAAGTATATGATTGTCTAACCATTGTACTGTACACCTGAAAAAAATGCAAAATAATGTTGAATGTAAATGTAATTGAAAAACAAAAGAAAACCCAAAGTTTGGGAAGTTTTTTGAATGTGACAGGTAAGTGGGGTGAGAGTACTAATATCCACTAATTCTCTCCTTTTGATTAATCACTGATTCTTCTACCTTATGACTTTGATATGACAGGAAACTTCAGGAAGTTTTAAGAAGGAATCAGCAATTTAATTGGGCTTACATTCCTTATATCACTGAGGCCTGGCAGGTACCACATCCAACATATATGTTAATCATTCAATGATATTTATGGTTAAACATAATGGAGTAAAATAACATTTTAAAAAATCTACTTTCATCACTAAAACCAGTTGAAAGTATTTTTACTATATAGCTAACCTGCTTTATTAGTTTAATATATTCCTTAATCTTTGGTCATGGTTATATGAAACATGTCTCTCTCCAAGACACAAATTTTATCTGACTGTGTTTTTTGTCTTTTAACACCATATAATAAAGCTCTAATACAGGCCCTTTAAAATGTATTTTCTTGGATAAAAGTTTCTACTTCTGCAGAGAAGGGCTTCTTATGAGCCCCTGGAAGGACTGTGCCTTGTTTTCATGGAGGACTCTAGACCCCTGAAATTGTCTCTGAATTTCGGAGCAAAGGATGGGTAGCTTCATCTGATGACCTGAGGGATAACATCTCTGATAGCCACTACTCCTTTCTGCCTTAATTAGTATAGCTCCTTGGATGTAAAATGGACATATCTAGATGATCCTGCAAAATGTGAGTCAGGAAAAATTGGTCACATGTAATCATGCTCAACATGCTGATCCGAAGATGGCAACAATAAAACAATTTTGTGAATGCATGTTAATTCCTACTCTGCCTCCCCAGGTGGGTTTCATGTGAAAATAACCATAGTTAATGTCTTTTCATCACACTTTACTAAGCTTTACAAGGCTTTCAGAAATAAGTATTTTTCAAAACAAATACAGTTGTTTTAAAACACATCTACTTAGACTGGTTTCTTCTTGGTCCTCTCTGCCAATTACACCAATAAGCCCTGGAAATAACAACCAACCTAGGAAGAACTCTGAAAAGTGGAACTGGCTAAGGACCCCAAGAAGGGAGGAATCACAGGCAGGACAACCTACATCCTAACATCCAGTAGAAGAAGGCATCTCCAGCCAGGATGTTTCCCACCCCAGCCTAGCGACAAAAAGGGACCCAGATAGATGCATCCCACCTCCATTCAAACCATATTCCTCTGACAGTATCAGGTGAGTCCAAACCATGACCCCACTAACATTAAGTGCCAAGAGAGGCAATTTCCTTCCACAAGAAATGAGAGAGGCTGGGAGGGTCACTTGCAAGAAGGAGCATGTCCCAATAAGCTCCAAATCTGAAAGTCCTTTTGACCCCATGGAAATTCCCCTACCCCAATGAGAGACAAGGGGTAGCCTGCCTTGGGGAAACCCATTTCATCCCTTGGTAGGGGGGAGGCACCAGCAGGAACCAGTGGGAGCCCCTGGGCATAAAACAAACAAATGATTCCAAAATAGCACCTCAAAGGGTCTGAAAATTCAACTGTCATTGGAACTAACAGCCCACTCAAGTAGATCAGAACCTGGATGCTACACCTAAGCAGGACGGCTACTGGCTAAAATAGGAGGTTTATATAAAAGCAAGATTCTCTTAACATAATAGTCAAAATGTCCAAGATAAACCACTCATCATACCAAGGTCAAAAGATTATATCTTGAATAAGAAAAAATTATTAACTGACATCAATAGCAAGATGAATCCCGCTAGAATTATTTGCTGATGAGTTTAAAGCAGTCATTATAAGAATGCCTCAACAAGTAATTAGAAACTCTCTTGAAACAACTAAAACAATAGAAAATCTCATTGAAAACATAGATGTTATAAGAAAGAATCAAATGGACATCACAGAACTTAAAAATACAAACATATACCAATTCATAGCAAATATTTCATTGAACCTGCAACCAAATAAAACAAAATCTGCACACTGGGTTCTGATAAAAATTGTTAAATTTCTAATAAGAGAAATAGTGACATGCTTAGTCCATGACGTTTTTTTAAAAAAATATGTATTAAAATCTGGTCCTAGTCCCCCAGAGCTTATTACCTCGTAAAAGGGGTTAAAGGGAACCACTTTGTTGCTTTTTTAAATAGTATTGATCCAAAATCTAAAATTCCAATCAAAAGTGAAAAATTGGGTAAAATGAAAGCTTTGATTTTTTCAAGTTGGGGTAGTGGTTTACATTTTACCAAGCAATTGCTCACTTCCAGGTTTAGCTCCTTCCAGAAGCAATTCCTGACTATAATGGGCACATTTTGATAATATACTGATTACCATTTCTTCAGCTCAGGCCAAAAGTTTGTGTTCTAGGAAACAGTACTTTCTTATGTTTGCTTCTCTATTTTGAACTAATGGCAAAACCTCTCACCCAGTGTACTGCAAGCTGCTGCTGTGCTAGAAGTGAAGTGCTGAGGTATTAATCCTCCAATACTTTAGCCAGCAGTCACCCTGTTTAGGTTTAGCATCCAGGTCCTGGTCTAGTTGAGTGGGACCTGGGGAACCTGGACCTGAGGCCAATGACTTCAGCTACCTGCAACCTCAGCTCCTAACCCCATCCATTCACTTACACACACACTCACTTGCTAAAAGCACAATCTGAAGTTTAATAGTCTGATAAAAATATTTACTAAATGGTTAAATCTTTTTCTATGGAAAATGTCAAAGTAAAGAATATTTTTATTAATTTGAAGACCTTTCCTAAGTAAGGTGATTTTCTAGAATGCCTGAAATTCCAATGCTTTCAATTCTTTCAACAATTGCATTACTCAGATGTTATGATAAGTATTTTGCAAACTGGTTAGAATCTAAGGGATTTCACTAATATTCAATGAGTATAATTGTTATCCCAAACTAATGTTTGGAAATCAACAAATTTAGCTTAAATCTCCATACATATGTAAAACTGAGTTATTTTTCATACTATTACTCCTAAGATTTTCTCTAATGAAATATACACATTTTTATAAATTGATTTTAATATCAATGAACTATCATGAATGCCGCTGTCACATTCACCCATGTAAGCCATTTAAAAGTTAGAATCTGCTTCTACTTCATGATATAATGACACCTAGTGAAACTTAATTTGTGCAATATAACCCAAGTTATCCTAGCTATATAGCCAAAAACCAATTAGAAAAAGAACCTTGCTACCCATCATTCATTCATTCATTAAAATGAAATATAACTTATAGAGAAAAATAAGATACAAAATGTAATTTTACTTTACATTTACTAACTGTAGAAAACACACAGAATTATTACAGACCCATGAAACAGTAAGCTTATAAGGGCTATATAGTATTAAGATTATTGCATTAAGTACATTTTATAAAGAATATTTCTAAGTTTTGATTATTTCTCCAATAATTTTGAGTACAATATGCAGTACGCAGTCCTAAGGAAATATGTTAGTATGTATCCTTCTAGAAATAAATGTTTTCTTTCAATCATAAAACTATTTGTTTATTAAGATGATACCATTAAAAGTTAAATTATATGACATGAAATAAAATAAAATTAATATAAAATGATGCATTGATTATAAAACAATTTGTAAAAACTAACTCAGGAAATCATTTACCTGGCCGTACTTTGCTGCCAAGTGAAGCGGGGTCCAGTACTGATTATCTGCTACATTGAGGTCTCCACCATGCTCCAGGAGAAGAGATACAACCTCCTTGTAGCCACTGGCACATGCCATATGTAACTGCAACAAAGGGATGTTTTGTTATTTATCTTTAATAAGTAGCAATATCAATACAGTTTATTTAGTGGTTTAAAGAGAACAATTTAATAAAATATTGAACCTAAACTACAGAGATCTTAATAAAAGGAAGAGATATATAATTTTATTTATTTGGTACAAGTGGATGTCATCATTCCTTGAAAAAGGCTTACAAGTCAATTATTATTTTCCTTCTGACTGACAATGTACACCTTTTCATGTAACCCTTGTTTCCATCTCGAATGTCCTTTCTACTATAACATGAATAATTTTACATACAAAATATAATAATTCAATACACTACCACTACTCTCCCAGAAGTCAAACATGTCCTGACTAACACTAAAATTCCAGCTCTGCATTTGGTGTTTACAGGAGAGGGACTCAAAGATGCAAATAACAACAGGAAATGTGATCACTGTGATGCTTATGACACAGAAATGGGACAGGAACACCGGAAATGATGGATTAATCCTGACAAGCTCTAAGATGATTGTGTAGCTGTCATTTTAACATTCTCCCAGTTTAGTTTCACGACGCAACCTGAAGTTTAAAAATAAGGCTTCAGGAACTGCAGTGATGAGATCAGGGTTTAGAAAATCAAAGGTTTCAGAAGTGGTGATTCCTGTTTCTAAGGCCACAGCCTTTCTTTGTAATAAACTAGCATCAAACTTAATTTGCATTACATTATTAAGTAACTACACAATTGATTTTATAATAGTAACAATTAAGAGAAAATTATAAGAAAAAGAAAAGGAAAAACTCATCTGACAAAGGCCTACGCAGGGAACAAGTTCAAGATTTAACTGAAATCAGGGTCCTTAACACCTGGGTTTGCTCACAGGCCCATTCAGAGTCTGTAGGAAGATTTCGGTGGGTTGCAACCTTGGGTGGGAAAATGGTTAGTTTTATTTTCTTCTAAGTCCTAAAAGTTTAGCAAATTCTTCAATGACAAACATAGGCAGCACAGCCATGATATAATTATCAGAAGAAATGATATCCATATCACATCACTATCATAGCAGGTATCTCAAAATATCAACCATGTTCAACTCTACTATGAAATCATGGTAATTATTAGATCTGTTACTCAGTGTATTAATTAATAAAGAAGCACAAGCATTATGTATAACAAATTTAATTTCAATATTATGATTACTATATTTCAACATAAATGGCGTTCTTTGTAATTCTATGCACCATTTTTTATTATATAAAAACATACTGAAAGGGACTCAGAGGCTACACGATATGGTTAAAGGGGAGTGCGGCATTAAAAAGATCAGTGAGCCCGGGCTTTATACCAGTTGAGAGTTTTAATCATTGCATGGGTCTGGACATTCTAATCTCTAAACTGAGGCTACGGTTTGTGGCATAAGAGCTGCATTCCCTAAAAATGACAAGAAAACCCGTGCACTGGCTATGTCTCCATCCAGATGTAAGGGACAAACCAGAACTCCCAAAATAACAAAAGGAAAGAAAGATAAGATTGCATGATATTTACATCTCATGAATAATTCTTTTCCAAAAACCCGTATATCTCAAGGCCAGATGTGAGACATCAAATTCTGTGATAAAACAGTAAAGAACCAGCCAGCATCTTTGTGAAATATATGCTAATTATTACAGTAGTATTTTCCAAGAGCATATATATATACACTCAAATTCAGGAACTAATTTCCACATGCTCTATAACATGGCTTTAATTTTGCACTGGATCATTTTCTAAGGCTTTAACTTTCTTTCACAAAGAATATTAATGTAAATTAAGAGAGGGCCATAATATATTTGATTATTTCATTGTATATTCCAAAAGAAGAGAAAAACACAGCATAAAAGCATCTTACGAGAAGTTTATTCCCATTGAAACTTTGTTGATAATTTCATCTCTTTTGCACAGCAATTTAACAGTGTGGGAAATTAGGTCTAATTTTGAACCACAACTGACATTCCAGCTCAGACACAGAAATCGGTCTAAGGACAAACGCATCTCACGTTGTCACCAACAGTAGACACGAGAGCACAATACACACGTGCCTTACACAAAGGCAGTGCCAGAGCCGGCAGTCAGGAGCCTAACAGACTAACCAATTAGACCTAACAATCGAACTCAACTTTCACTCGCTAAATACTCTGATCTCCAAGGCATAACTTTCTACCTTTCCATTCATTGCTTCTTTTCTTGTAAAAAGCCCAAAGATGAGCACCATGAGATTGTTATTACAGAACGTTTCTTAGCAATGCCCTCTATTCCATAAAAAAAAGAAAAAGAAGTCACAAGGAATGTAAAAACTGAAGATAGTTAAAAATGAGAGCAATCTATTACCCCGTATTGATTACTTCAATAGCTTTCCTACTGAACAACGGCAGGTCTTTTTATTCACAGTGACTGAAGCGTGTACGTTAGTGTAATTCAACAGTGATTTTTTAAAAAACAAAGGCTCTATTGGGTTTCTACTGTGTGTTAGGCATTAGGGCATTCCATGTGACAAATGATTAGTTTAATGTCCCACCCTAAGCTGGATTTTGACACACCACCCCCTCCCGCTGCACTGAAGCTACCCGAGAAAGGAAGACCAATGGCCCCCATGTGACGAAATCCAACAGTCAATCATCTGCCATGCCCATTTCCCTGGCCCCCTCAGCTGTATCTAAGAGTCCCCCTCTTCATACTCTCTTCTCTGGGCTCCCAGGACATCTCATTCTCTTGCTTTTCCTCCTACTTTGGGAATTGCTCCTTCTCACCTTCTTTCTGGAACTTCCTCTCTTTCCTAAGCTCCAAGACACAGTCCCAAATCCCCGTTCCTCCTGCATCAAATTCGTGACTTCATCCAGAGCCAGGGCCTGTCGGGATCCCACGGCACGAACGTTCCCGCAGCTGCTTCTCCAGCCTGGATGCCTCCTNCCAGCCTGGACGCCTCCCGGATTTCCCACGCAGGGCCCAACCAGGAGCTCAGCAGCTCCACCGGGATGGCCAGGAGGCGCTTCTATCTCTGCATTTCCAGAAGGGTTCTGGTCTTTCCGGCACTGAGCTCGGTCTTCGGCCTTCTCTGTGTCCCTGGATGCCAACTTCGTCACTCCAGCTGCTCAAGCTAACAATACCCGGAGCCCTTTTGAAGTCTCTTCTTTCTCTCACACCACAGTTCCGCCAGGAAATGCCAGTGGGTCTTCCTTTAATGTTGGCTGAAATGAGCCACTTCTCACTGCCTCAACTTCTCCCACCTTTGGCCGAGCCACACCGTCGCTTTCCTACATTCCTGGAAGAGTCTCCTTGTGGAACTCTCAGCTTCGCCCTTCTCTTGCGGTCAGTCCACCCTTACAGCAGTCAGAGCGAGTGAGCTTTTTAGAGCTGCAGTGAAATCGTGCCCATCTCTCTTCAGCNTCTCCCACCTTTGGCCGAGCCACACCGTCGCTTTCCTACATTCCTGGAAGTCTCCTTGTGGAACTCTCAGCTTCGCCCTTCTCTTGCAGTCAGTCCACCCTTACAGCAATCAGAGCGAGTGAGCTTTTTAGAGCTGCAGTGAAACCGTGCCCATCTCTCTTCAGAGCTCTCNTCAGAGCGAGTGAGCTTTTTAGAGCTGCAGTGAAATCGTGCCCATCTCTCTTCAGCGCTCTCCAAGGTGATCCCATCTCAGAGTAGCTGCCACTGCCCTCACCGAGGCCCGCAGTGTGTGTGATCTGATTCTGGTTGCCTGTCTCCTCTCCTTTACGCTGCTCAGCCAAACTTACCCCCTTGCTGTGTCTCAGTCACACCACACCTGGCTCTGCCTCAGGGCCATTGCACTTACCGCTGTTCAGACTGAAATCTACCGTGTTCGACCTCACACCATATTTTTTCCATGGTAGAAACTGAGTCACTGGATCCAACCACTTCTGTGCATCCCGTGCTTCAGAGCTTCATACTCTCGCTGCTGCACTAGTTTATTGGGTTTTTCTGAGCTTTAATATATGAATTTCCATCATAATTTATTTTAACCCCTGCATGCCCAGTCCAGGTAAATTTTATGGGTCAATAGGGCCAAATGTTCATATTTTGAAGCCTGAACTTATGCTTATATAAACTTTAATCCAAATTTAATTGTTCTGTTTTTAACTTACTGCAGCTATGCCTGCTAGCAATAAAAAAAGGAATAACAGGCGTTTCCTTGAATTTAGAAATTCATTCACCAGACTAACCCATAGTTTGTTTTGCTTAAAATAAAAACATTCTCCTCTAAGTTCCAACTCTAAAATCACATTGACAAAGAAATGCAAAAAAAAAAAAAATCATCTATATTTGTAGGGAAAACATGCATAGAAGAGAGAATGGAAAAAAATATATCAACATATAAACACTAGTTTCCTCTGGGTGGTGGCATAAGTGATTTGCATTTTCCTCTGCATACTTATGTGCTTTCTAAAATGTCTACCATGGATATATATTACTTTTATGATCAAAGAAGACATTATTTAAAAGTTAACTATAGCCATTTCTATGTTTTAGAAATAACCATACATTCTCCACTTAAGCAATATTTCTGAGTCAACGACAGTGTGACTTACCAGTGTTACACCTTCATCATTTCTCTCGTTAACATTTCCTCCACATGATAAGAAGTGTTTGACATCTGCTAACATGCTCATGGGTCTCTGAAGCTTCATCTGCTGCAGAGAGGTCAGATCCACCCCTAGGGGGAAAAGAGCCTTTCAAACAGAGTGTAGAGATACTTAGCTGTTGGAGCGAAAATAGTTTCATCTTATATTCATCCAACGTGTTCGTCTGTGAAGCCCCTCTTCACTTTGAATTCTCACTCAAAGCACTATAATTATTTCTCTTGGAAGCATTCTATTTCCAGCTAGAGTGCAGTCTTGAATAATTTTCCTTTTAATATATGCCAAATTTGTGATACGATATCTTACACAGAGCAGGTTCTCAGAGGATATCTACTTAAGTATAAATCAATACACACTGCCCGAAGTATTTTAAAGTACCTGAATTAAATTACAAGAAATTATAAATATATAGTTTTCACTCTGATTTTTTGGCCAAAATAGATGCTGCTAAAAGCAATGTAGTATCTTGGAAGAGAAAAAAAAAGAAAAAGATTTTTGTAGAAAAATGGAAAGAATCTGAATAAATCTGTAGTTTAATTAATAGTACTGTACATGTGATACTAATTACTGCCACCCGATAACATTTGATTGTATCTATGTAATTTTTGGTCTCTTTAGCTTCATCTGCTGCAGTGATGTCAGATGCCTGTGCAAAACTGAAACTACACTAACACATCAAGTCAATCTGGACCCTACCTTTACTTTCCTTAACTGTCCCTCCTCGGGTAATGTTGTTTTTGTAAATATTCAGCTTTCTCTTTATTCTGTAGTGGGTGTACTCTATGCTACTGTTATAGNTTTTGTAAATATTCAGCTTTCTCTTTATTCTGTAGTGGGTGTACTCTATGTTACTGTTATAATTTTTTCATTACACTGACTATGAAATGATCCGTCCCATGATTTTAGCATAAGATTCTCTAATAAGCTCCTAGAAGTGCATCTAACCCCAATTTTTATCTCCATAGTAAATTTCCTAAGTGACCCAAGATTGATAGTAGGCAAAAGAGTTGAGCAGGCAAATAAAGTAAGTTGTCTCTAGCAAAGAGAAATAAACACGTCCAAGCCAAAAGGCCATTGTAACCCTCTACCTAACCCCTCTCCCCAAACCTGACCATAGGCAGAGTGTGGGACTGTCCAAGGCAAACGAGATGCACTGACACCCTAACCCTGGGTGATTCTGAAGAGGATGGTGAAAGAACACCACTTTGAATGAACTTTATTAAGCAGAAGAAACAGACATGGTCATTTGTGGACGGATTAATCTGTGGTTCCTCTGAAGAACAAACGGCAAGGACAAGAGGAAAGAAGACCAGTTGCTGAGGCTGTTCCGAAATAGAAAGACCAGAGTTTTCACTAAGGTATAACAGCATAATTGGTGAGAGATATGGACATGTTAAAGCGATGTCAAGGGAGCAGAAGCTGTCAGATTTGGTGACAATTTGATGTGAGGGATTTAAAAAAAAAATGATGTTCAGATAGTTGGGTCCCTGACTGTTATGATAAAACAGAACCTATATAGAGTGTATGAAAGGACAGTGGTAAGTTCCATATAGTCATGTTATTTCAAACTGTCCGATATCCATGTCAAGATACCGAACATTGCACATATGAGCCTGCGGGTCTTGAAAGATATCTAAGCTGCAGGAATATTCTTGGGAACAGGTAGGTGGTAACAACCCAAGAAAGAGGGAGAGATAAGCCAGAATAGTCTGAAGTAATAAAAGAAGATACTTACAGACAAAGCTCTTGGGAACTACCAACATTTTGGTATCTGGATGTACAAGTGGCACATCCGCAGAAAACTAAGTAGAAGCTCCAAGCGAAGGAAAACTATGGAAAGATCATTGCAGGTGAGAGAAATTTTCATAACAGAGTGTGATCAGAGTCAGCAACTATCACAGAGAGATGAGGTAAGAGAACAGAAAAGTGATCACTGGATAGGGAGCCCAGGAGGGCACCACAATCCTGGCAGGGACCTTTCCAGTGGATCAGTGGGGACCGTGGGCTGAGAGGAGATTAGGAACTCAGGAGAATAAACATGAGCTACTTCTTCTAAAAGGACAGATTTGAAATGAAGGAGAAAGGGCAGAGTGCAATGATATAGGCTGAGCAAAGACTGTGTTTTCTTTCTTTTTCAGGGACTTGAATATATATCTATATGCATGTATATAATAGATACATCCCCCCGCCCCCGCCGCCATGGTGAGCATCTCTCTGCCCTGGGCCACTCTGAGCTCGCCCTGCACTGCTTTCTCTCCCTGCTGGCTCATTTTGTAATCAATTGATTTCCTTGAACGCCAGTGATTGCCTTGCACTGGAGACCTAATAGGCATCTCCTGCTCAGTCCGCCCTCCGCGCTGTCTCGCTTTCCAGCCCCGATCGCTCAGGCGGTGAGCTGAGGTTAATTGCTGTGCCCGGGTGCACAGTGTATGTCGGTGGTGACAGTGCAATTAGAACCTGTGACCAGTGATTTTCCATGTAATCAACTTGCTCATAACCTCGACTGCCTCCTGTCACATGTGTCCTGATGTGACAGCATGGTAAGTACCCTGATTTGAAACTGTATGACGCAGAGTGAAAATTCAAGGACTGCAGCTGCCCAGCTGCACGAATGCAATGCTGAGACACTGGGCGCTAAACAGTAAGATTCTCATCTCGTGATACTGGACATTTCTAAGGACATCGGCCCACGCTGTCAGAGCACATAATTCTAAAAGTGCACCAACAAGGGGAGAATACATTGAATTAGACGATATTTACTGGAACTGGGGCAGCCGAAACATAAGTAGGAGGGACACTGTCAGAAATGGAACCAGACTGCGAATGAGGCTGCGGGGGCAGGTGGATGGAAGGCAGAGGCCAGTGCCACAGCAGTGACGAATGGAAAACAGAGTTAAAAATTTAAGAGATACTATATTGAATTTGTTCCAGCAAACATGTATTTTACAAACTGACTGTGACAGCCATCACTGTGACAGATTTTTCTCCTGACCGTTCGGAGTTAGGACCTTCCTCTCATTATTTTCCTTAATTGTTTTTTAAAGCAACCTCTCAAAGGAATACATGTATTTTTATTTATATAGGGTAGATAATAATGCTTTTGAAAATGCTAAAATATCTTATCAAACAAAATCCTTTAATGAGTTGGAAAGGTTTATAAGTAATGTTAATTCTTCTGTAAATAGAGTGTTAATTTTAATTTCCCGAGAGAAACGTTTATTACGATGGCTGTTAAAAATCCAGAACAGTAAGAAGAGCAGGAAAACATCACACAGAACTGGCACAGCTAAATAAAAGACAGTCACGTTCATGCCCATTCAGAGTCATGGGACTACAGGACAAGTTTTGCAAATGTGCAAATAATAAAACTTCCCAGCAGTGGCACGTGCGTAACTTTCAGCTCCTTCTGTTTAGAAGTAACGGGTCTCCAAGCACAGTGGCAGGTTTTTCCCCAGGGAGGAGCAGGTAGGGGACTGATGTAGAGGGAACACTGACTGCAGCACATGGCCTGCGCCCCCTGCTGCTTCTGTCCCCAGGCCGTGACTCAGTGACCTTCAACAGCACAGCTCTGCTCACATTTGCTCTAATGAAAATAACAGTACTTACCTTGCTCTCAGAATTAATGAGACTATTTTTTTTAAGAACTCATGGCTTCTAAGTACTAATTATTATTATTCTAAACCATCCTCAGAATAAACCTTTTGATACAAGCGATCTGGAGGAGGTGAAGAGCACAGGGAACAAAGAGGCAGATGTGCGGGCTTTTCTTAGAGGCACAGAGTCACAAGCGTGGTGAGGCTCTTAAAATTTTTCATCTTTTTCTCTGATAGATCATATTTGAAGGGATTGCAATTTCATTGTTTTTATTTATTCCTAAATACCAGAAAGAAAAAAAAAGGAGAGCATACTTCTTTATTTTAACACCACATCGAGCTCAAGATTTCAAGTACCTCTCACTTTGCCAATGTTGAACTTACTCATGAAATTATACCCTGGGTCTGTGCAATTAAATGTTCTTTGCCATTGAATACATCTGGGGCTTTAGTCTCATCTTTTCAGGCCAGCACCATGATCACGGGGCATTCTCCCGATAAGGTTTCTGTCTCCAAGTGTCACCAAGAGTGGATGCTGGGATGCCTGTGCAAACTGTCCTTGACCTTTGCCCTCACTTACCCACGTGGAATAATTCTTAAGAGGACCATGACTGCTACGAGAATACACTTACGATGACCTCGCTCTCGTTACCTCAAAATTCAATGTGCTGGTTCACTTCCCTTCTCCTCCCAGTGGAGAAGAGATTATAATTACAAGCCCAGTCCCACTAATTATGGACTTCAGATGCTTGTTAAAATGCTCCTTCATTACTGGCCTCTAGAATTTTGCTGGCTTGTTAAACTGCATTGACTAAATCAACAATGCATTGCAGTAGAAGGGTGAAATGCAGTGCAGAAACATAACTCATTTGACACAACTTAGGGAAACTACATCAACAGGAAATCATGTAAGCAGATTTAAATAATAAATACACTTCTAATTCCACCAACTGATCTCTTCATCTATCTTTTTAGTTTTCCAAAGCTCGGCCTACCGTTTTCATCCAGATAAGTCAACAGAATAGAGCTTGATTCTGTCCCTTCTACAGCATAATCCAATGGGATATTTCCATTGACATCCTGGAGAAGGACATTGGCTCCAGCCTGTAAGTAAAAAAGAACAAATATACTGCATGTACACTATTAACATAGAAAGCAGATCAATTCTTTCCTTTCAATCTTAGTCAGAATAACAGATACACAATAGTCTACATTAGATACAATCAAGCAGAAAACTGAAATTATTTTTAAGACCAATGTATTAAATACTTTGTGAGAAACTTTGACAGTCTAAAAATGTTCAACTGACCCTTACAAGATCTGAATCCCAGCTATTCTCCATCCCTCTTGCTAAACCCAAAAAAGCCAATTCATAGCTACTGAACCACTCAGGCCAGTGTGCTGGCTGCACCTGTAGAGCCTGTCTTGTTTCTCACACAATAGAAGTGTCCCATGACTCTTGTATGAACTTTGATCTTCCCCAGACTATGCTATAAAAATCTTTATACTCCTTGCTCTCCACAGAAACTCATCTGAGAGCTGTTCTCACACCATGATGTTCTAATAAGGCTTGGGCTAATGGCTTCTGGTTGTTTTTTCTTTCCAGAAACTTTTCTAAGGAAATAAAAGCATAATCTGTAGACATTAATAAGTGGAATATGTTACATATGGCTATTATGCATCTTTTAGCTTCAAAGGCCCCTCCATCAAGAACCTCTGAGCACACCTGCTCCACCCTTTACTATCTCAGCTTAAATACAATAATGGATGTGCTTTTGCTCTAAAAAAACTGGTCACATAAGTTTCACCATTGCTTTGCATTATTTGATGCACTCCATAAAACTGATCAGGCATGGTTTAATTGATCAGGCATCGTTTCTCCAAGGGCATGGCATGAACATGTTCCCAGTGTCCAAGGCTTCCCACATACCTACCATTAACATGTCATTAAATGAAAATTTCAGGCCAAACAAATGAAAATGTCCCCTTATTCTTTTTACTGAATAAGCGTATGTATTGCAATATAAATACAGTTCATATAGTTCATATAATATCCAAATGCATAACTTTACATAAAAGGTTGTCACATTCATAATTTAATATTTTAAAACGTGGGGATTTTCTTTTTGCGTGTTTCTGTGGGTATACATATGTGTTTGTGTGTATAAATATCCTATACCTCAGGTTTTCCAAAAGACTGCTCTAAATGCATTATAAAAACAAAACAAAAAAGTATGTAAAAGCGTGTAATGCCCCATATCTTAATATTTGGCTTCCAGATAAGCCATGTGGCTTACTTCACCATCTAGAGTTTACCACATTCCATATTCTATAACCATATAAAGATACTCCTTTATGTGAACAGAGCAAGTTATATATTTCAGATGTTCATTTATGTAAGGAAAGTAAGAATTTTAAGATCCTAAAGGCTTCAAGTTATTTTCTTAGTGCATTTAATTTCACTTCTGTTATTCAGCTTGTAAAGAAATTACTTGAAGCGCTGTTCTGAAGTGCACTTTGCTGATTCATTTTCTTTAGTCCCCCACTGTAAGAATAAGACTTTGCATACCTACCCAAGTATCAATTATTAAAGAATCAATTAAGACACAGATCTCTAGGGTGCTGTTACCAATTTCAATACTAATAGGTGGGAGACAATCAAGTTATTCTTTTTCCCGGTGCATATCTGTTTCAGATAGAATCTTATCTATGCCAAACATCTGGGCACAAAGCAGTGGTGAATATCATTAAGAGTCATGTATTATCAATCACAACAAAAATAAATAGGAGAGCTACTTGAGAGACGCGGGGCACTTGGAGAGAACATGTCTACTCTTAGAAGTAATGAGGTTCTTTCAAAGAAAGTCTGAAAGTGAAACACGGTGCTGAATATTGTTGCTGGGCTCATTCACTGAAATTTCACTCCATCAATCACTCCCTGGGCTGTGCTGCTAAATTACCGGGCAACATTCCCTACACAGAAGTTGGGCTTTTCTCATCACAGATCACACCTCATGCCTCTTTATATTCCCAACACTTACTCCAGGGCCTGGCACATATGAGGTACTGACAAAGATTTTTTAAAACAAACTGAAAATATGGAGCCAAATGCTGAATTAAGCTAATCACTAAAAATTATGGCAAATTATAATTTTCATAATAATTTTTAAAAATAAGTTTTCTGACCTTTTTTTCCAAGGGGGAATAGATAATATTACAAAAGCACTATGTGCATACTTGTGTTTCCTGCCTTCCACCTTTCCACATGCATAATGAAGGGAAGCAGAGGTGGCCACCCCACAATACACCTTTGGGGATATTGTTTTTAAGATGGTTATAAGGAAACAAAAGACTCAGGAAAAACCTTTCATATCCCCCACAACTACCCAAAGAAATTTAGACAGGGGACCTGCTCCAGGAAGGAAGAGAGCCTCACAGATAACTACGTTTTAATATAAATTAGTGTGTGATAGGCGGAGAGGAACCCAACAAAACCCATTTGCCCCAAATTCTCCCCGCATCTCATGGTTAAAGGTGGCCCAGCAACCATTCATTTACCAAACATTCACTTTCCATCTCCCTGTAAACTGCCTTCCTGCCCTTTGAAGTCCCAAACCACAGCCACCCTTTTCCTTAGCTTTAGCATGGCATAGAAACCTCAACTGTCCAAAAGTTCTTTGTGTCTCTATCCTTATGGCACGCCCCCCCCTCCCACCTGAATGTGCATTCCTGTAGTAAACTTTGGATATTTTCTACTGTTACTCTGTCTCTGTTCATCTGATTAGTCCAGCTAGAAGAACTCAGAAAGTGGGAGGAAAAATATCTTTTGGCCTCCACAATGACATTTATGAAATAGTCCTCTCTCTCTTTTTTCTCTCTCTCCCTCCCTCCCTTCCTCCCTTTTAGTTTTCTCTGTGGGCTGGAGCACCCCCTGCAGTGGTCCTGGTGCCCTGCCCCACCCCTCGGACAGCCTGGTATTGACAGATGTCCACAGACAGGACAAGCTATGTGCAATAACAACATAGGTCCTAGAGGATCCATGGAGAAGCTGTATTTCTTGAATTAGAATTCTGAAATTGTACATCTATTTTTTAAAAATACCATTGATAAGATTCATAGCTGACTATTATTCTTAGACTGACTTAGAAGTTAATGCGCAATTATAGTTGTTAATAGGTCCCATGGGAAAGAAGGCACTGTTCACTTTCAAAGCAGGACATTTCCTCAAAATGTCAGAAGACTTCTCTTAATATCATCAGGATGGTCTCATTTCTAGCATACAGAGAAGGAAATGGCTCAAGGGGCTGGGAATTAGTAGCATTTATAAGGTATTTGTTAGTGCTCTTAAAACAACAAAACACATTGTTTTGTTTCATTTTACACTGAACCACTCAGGAACATAAAATGAATTTTCTCAACTTTGCAGAGTGAGAGCCAACAAATAATTCAATTCAATAAAATATCACTCTTGACATTGTCCATTTTTAGTGTGAGAATTTGAAACATGTTCTAAAATACTATTTTTCTCTTCCAAGACATGGCATTCTTAAACATCTTTTTTTAAATGTTCTTTTAAAATTTCAAATTTGATTCCATATGTAAGTGTCCATTACTTGGTTTTTCAGCTCTGAGTATAAAAGCCCGAGGAGTGCTCTGGAGCTGGCGCACATGTTAATCAGTGTTTCCCTGGATCCGTGGCTCAGAGTGAGACACCAACAGTCAACATTTCCTCCTGTGCTGGTTTGCGCCTCTGACTGTGTACAGAGTTGTCTTAGTCCAGGGGGTGAGAAACAGGCTTAGTTGAAGATCTCAGACTAGATTTCCAAATACAGGACTAAGAATATCCAAGCTTGCACTTGTTTTATGGAACAATAACTTTAGCAATCACTATACATTTACTAAATCTTAAGTAATATTTTAGAATTACTGAATGACATCCTTTATAAAAACATATGAGTTAGGAACTGGGTGTGTAAAAAGAATTCTGAGAGTGAGGGTAGATGGAAGACATACATACTTTTTTCATGATTCAAGAAAATTCATTTATATTCCATGTACTAATTCCGAAGGGTGTGAGAGTGTGCATGTGTGTGTGCGTGTGTGGGGGGGGGAGAGAGGGAGAGAGGGAGGGAGAGAGGGAGAGAGGGAGAGAGAGAGAGAAATGCCTTCCTGGTTTTACATCCCTACACTTAATCACCAGATGTCAAATTCCTTATATTGACAGTAGTGATTATCCTCTGTCTAAATAAAAGAAGAAATTCCAAATTAAGTAAAACTAGCATTAGTAAGAAAAGTTCAACAAAAAAATATTATCTTAGTACAATACAGACTCTGAGGCAAGTTCTTCAGACTAACTTCAAGAAAATCAATCAATCAGTGATTGGTTTTCATCAGGGAAATGAAAGTAATCAATATTACATATGCAAAATCAACAGAAGTTTCTGGAATGTTTTTGTAATTGAGGACTGTTTAGTTCCTACTAGGCACCCTAATCACATTTCCTTTATAATTATTCACACTGGGAGGCCACCAACTTCCAATTTGTTGCAAACTATGCTCCTCGAGTATTGAAAATGGAATTTAAATATATCATTCCCCCCAAACAGAAATCTTATTTACTGCCTATCACGTGACATATGAACAAATATTCTTTTACTGTATGTAATAATTTAGTATCAATAGATATACTTATCAGTTGTTTGATTAAATAATAATTCTCTCACACATTTTTAATGAAACTTTCATTAGAGGTACCTAACGGCATTTTAATAAACAAACAGCACTTTTTATATGCTAATACTCTCTGGTAACTTTTTTATTTTGATATAATTTCAGGTTTACTCAAAGTTTCTAGAGTAGTGCAAAGAACTCCTGTGTACCTGTTATGGGCTGAATTGCATCACCCAGAAAGAAACATTAAAGTCCTAACTCCTAGTAACTCTGAATGTGACCTTATTTGGAAACAGGATCATTGTAGGTATAATTAGCTAAGTTAAGGTGATGCCATGCTAAAGTAAACAATATGGCTGGTGTCCTGTGTTCTAAAATATTATATTTTCTCTTCCAAGACATGATATTCTTAAATATCTTTTCTTTAAATATTCTTTGTACATTTCAATATTTTTAGCAGCTTTCAAAATATTCTTTGTATTTTTATTTATTTATTGTTTACACTATAACAGCTGTCCCTATCCCCCCCCTTCACCCACCTCTACCCAGCCCCCACTTCCCTTTCCCTCTGGCCATCACCACACTTCTGTGTGTGTCTATGGGTTATGCATATATGATCTTCAGCTTCATTCACTGATAACAGCATCCACTATATAATTTTTCAGACAGAGAGGGGAGATGGGCATGTGAAGATGGATGCAGACTGGAGTTATGCTGCCACAAGCCAAGAAAGGCCTGGGGCCATCAGGAGCTGGGGGAGACAAATTTCGGAGGGAGTGTGGCCCTGCCGACACCTTGATTTTGGACTTCTGACCTCCAGAATTGTGAGACAACAAATTTCTGCTGTTTTAAGCCATTCAGTTTGTAGTGCTTATTATGACAACCCTGGAAAACTAATATTCTTAATACTCTACCTTTTATACAAATTCACCAATTATTTATACTTTTGCCTCTCTCCCCCTCCCCCCTGCTTTCTTTTATTTCTCCTGAATCACTGAAAAGTAAGTCACAGATACCCTGTCCCTTTACCCCTAAATATTTGAGTACACATTTAATAAGAACAAGGATATTCTCTGGCACAAAAGTTATGAAAATCAGAAAAATTTAACACTGATGAGTGCTGTTAATCTAAATCACAGCCCATATTCAAAGGGCATTAACATTTCCAGTGGTATCCTTGATAGTATTTTCCCCCAATTCAGGATGCATTCCAAGGTCACCCAGTGCATTTAGTTGTCCTTTCTCTTCAGTTTCCTACAATTTGGAACAGTTCTTTTGTCTTCCTTTTTTTTTTTTTTTTAAGATCTTTTCTGATGTGTCCTTACAATAAGATTTTTGGCAGGAAAACCACAGAGGATGGCATGTTCTCCCATTGTATCATATCGAAAGACACATGATGTCCCTTGGTCCATAACTTTCATCACCTGGTAAAAGTGAACTTTTTGTTTTGTAATGTAACTTTGCAGCTAAGAATCCATGAGTTCATGCTGATATCAATAAACAACTAAATACCTGAATAAAGGGGAGAAAAAAAGCTTTTCCTTACAATACAAGAGCAGCTAATAAATGTGGGAAAATGATAAAGTTAGAATTGACCATTCATTATAGTAATAAGTGATTCAGATGAGTCATCAAGGGATACTAAAATATGAGATTTTAATCATTGTAAATGTTTATGGTAATAAACAATTTTAAACCTACTGTATTACAACAATTTAAATTGTTATAACATTTGAAATTATATTGGGACACTTTTTCACAGCTCCATCTGTAAACATCCTGAAATCAATAATGGTTACTCTGGAGTATGTAAGGATTTATGTGTAGCATTGCTGTGGAGCTAAATGACAAACCATGTCAAGTAAGCAAAATATGTAAGAAAGAAAAGGTAATCACAGAATTCCAAGTGGCTAGGGTGTGAACAGCATTTACAGGCATACTAAAGAAATCTCTACTGACATGACAAAAGTTTGTCATGATGATGGGGGAAGACAGGCACACGGGCAGAGTGTATGTATCTAATGGGGCAGGGAGTGTGCGTTATACATTATAATTATACAATGTTTATTAACTCAGAATTTTCTGTCACTTTGTTTTACTGATTATTTGAACATCTCAAATATATATATATATTTTTATTTTACATTCCGCATTATCTAGTTTTAAAAATATTTTTTAATTTGTGCCATGTTCCAACACCAGTGCTCAATAACTTAAATTATTTTCTAGTTTTTTAAAAATTAATTCCACGGCAACTTCTACTTCCTGGATTTTAAGAAGCTTTATGGTTATTCAAGCATAAATCACACTGAAAAGCGATCCACTCAAAGCATGTCAGGTTTTATTCTCTGAAAACCTTGACACCATATTTACCTTAACATGTTCAGATATATATTTTTAGCATGTAGTATCACTGCATCTGTGCCCTAAATAAATGCTTTTAAAATATTTTCAGAATCTACTCCATCACCTGCTGAGAGAGGAACAATAGACCTTTCTTTGCTATTTTGCAGAATGTGATTTCATAGGGAATGGCATCTGAATAACCTCGCTCAGTTCTTACTTCTTTTCTGATATGACTTTGGGTTAAAGATTTTCATATCTCGGCAGCATGCCAGATCTGAATTTTCACATTTAATTTTTCAGTGTGCCCACAACTGCTAAGTTACTCTGTTCTGTTAGCAGTTCTAAAGCCGTGACAAGTCTGCACGTTTTAACAGTTCATTGCATTTGAACCCCAAAAAATAATTTTTTTATTCTGGCATTAATTATTTTGAAAGAAAAATGATTTAATTGAGTAAAATTGTATGACATTTGTATTGGGGAAAATGATTCCCTGTGTTCCTGACTAATCATCTCAGACTTTTTCTCCCTCCTATTGAAAATTTTGGGCCGATATGATTTGATACATATCCCAGAGCCATTTAATAAACTTCACTATTATACATAACTTCAAGAAATGAGTAATGATAAATGAATGATAAAGTGTCACTTTAATTTGTTTTATTTTCAAAGCGGTGACAAGCAACAGTGAACTGAATTATTACGATTCCATAGTACGGGGAGACCTTTTAAGTATTTTCACCCCTTGTAATCAGAAGGTTTAGGAGTAAGTATTAGCAAATGGATAGCCATTTACTAAGAGATGCTTGGTAACATCTTTATCAGCGTTTCACTTCAGTAACAATGGAATAAGCTGGAAATTGCAGTGAATATTTTCTCCATCCTTGGTCTTTTTTGTGTTTGAACATCTGATGTTAGCAATTTTATTGCCTGTTGGATGAAATGTGTCATGGACTATGTCTAATGGGCTCTGTGGAACTAGATCATTTTTATGGGTTTTGCAGCCAACTGCTGCAACCCAACAATTTTGTCATAACTGAAAGAGGAAATAGTTTGTGTTAGATGACTTAAATTGGTAGATCCAGATTAAACCATTCCAAACTTTCACTCATTAGTTACTGTGACTATTCCTGGATGAAATATTACTATAAAAAATTACGTTGTTTAGTTATAAATAACCCTTTATATCACTTTGATTTGTTAAATATTAGGAGATAGGGTACCCTGCCGTATTTTAAGAGATTATAGTCCTCCCTAGAAAATGAGCTATAAATCCAAGTGGTTCAGAGTAAATTTGATTTTCTGATAAGATCTATGGCAGAAGGACTGAGCTAAGAGCCTCATTATCAGCTTTTTAGGTACATGACCACACACAATATTTACTCTCCTTCTCAGCAGTTGATCTGGACTTCAACGTCACTGAGAAAATTGAAGTCAACAGGCTTACTGTCTTCAACTTCTACTAGCAAACTATTAATTTTCTTTCTATTTATTCAATCTTTGTTTTATTCTTAAAGAGGTGTTTATCTCCTTTATAAGCCAAATTCTCCCACATCCTCTCTTAGATTCTACTAACTGCCAGCTCTCTAACTATTTCTCATTCATTTGTTCCTCTCTTATGTTCATAGTATTTCTATTAGCCTTTTTTAATATAAACTTAATTGCTTTACTTACTAATACAAGAAGCAGGACAATATCAGGGTTATCACATGCACAGGCAGTGTGCATTGGCGTCCAGAAGTCTTCATCCTGGTGGTTGACATTGACCCCCTTGTCAATCAGGATCTCTGCAATGAAGGCATTATCATACCGAGCACACTAAAGTAAAAAAAAAAAAAAAACAAAAAAGAAAAAGAAAATTTAATATTTTAACAAGCTATGATAAGGTTTATTCCAAATTTCCATGGGTAGAAACTTCAAAGCCAATTTTGGAAGTTTAGAGGTAGATCTAACAAGGGAAAGAATGTATTCATGTTTCCCAACTAATCTACAAGAAAAGGGCATATGTAAGACCTAAGGGGAAATGGAGTCCATGAGCAGTGGGAAGAAAAATAAGCAAGGGGAAGGTATTATAGAGAGAGAAATATTTCACTATTTGGGTCCTTTTCATTTATAGATAGTATTATTAGAAAATCTTGGACCATTTATCACAATTATCTTTCTAAAATACAGATTTAATAACATGCTCCTTCTCCTTTAAAGCATGTATAATTTCTCACTGCCAAAACAATAAAGTTTTACCGCTTTATTTTATCCAAGACAGACAAGACTCTTCAGTCTCCATCTTCTTCTGTCAACATTCTCATATACAGCCTTTGAACTAGTTACATAAGACACCTAGGCATCACGCAACATGCTATCTTGGAAAAGCTAACTGTTGTGATTAAAGAAACTTCTAACATGTTTTAATGATTGCATAATATTGTATTTTATAGATATCCTATAATATACTAAGTCAAAGCCTCAGGAACTTATTTTCTTCTTAGTTTTTATTTACCACTTACAGTTAAAACTCACAATATTATATGTATAAGTCAGAGCTGGATTCATGGGTATATGATCCATGGAGTTGCGCTTAGATGCACCCTGCCATTGGTTTAATGCCCTGCTGCTGTCACCATCTTGAATATTCAATAAGTTTTGTAGAGTCCCACATAGTCATTTTGTACCTGGCCATGAAAGTTATTCATCCCTCGTATAAGACTTTTTAATATTTGCATCATATGACATACTAATGTCAAATGCACATTAGTAAAAATAGATTAAAAACAGACCTATTAATAGGTCAAATACCTATCAGTAAAATTTCTGGGTTGTAAGATATACACTTTTTATAGAATTTGGATGCATAATTTGGATTCCCTTCTCAAAATGTGTACAAAGTAATGCCACCACCAGGAGTACTATGATGCCACTGTACCCACCTAGTCACTGAGTAATAAAAGTAAAGACAGTTCACTGGAGGGCTTCTACTTCTGAGTAACAGAAACTGTATTTACCTTCCTACCTCAATCTACTGAACAAAAACAGACAAACAAGGAGATCTGGGGAATAAACAAGGCAGCCCTGCTGTTGCTGTTGCTCCAACTTGCTGCCCTGAGGGATTCCCAAGCTACAGGACCAAGAGGAGAATCCTGGTTGACCAGGATCGGCCATGAGGAAACTTAACTAAAGGTCCAGAGAGACCATGATGGCCAGAGGGCACAGGGCAGAGGAGCGGGGAGGGAAGAGCTGCACAGAGAGAGAAAGTCAAAAATTTGCAGAGGCCCCCCTCAAGTACTCGGTGGAATCATGATCAGTACACACATTCTAGGAAACTACTCAAGGTCATGGAAAGAACCCCCTGAAAAGAGAGAGGACTCAGAGCTCATAAATTGCCAGGAATAGTGCTTGTTTCCACCATTAACTGTAAAACTCACAATTTATGGCGCATTGAGTAGAGACCAGATGTGTCTTGCATCCAGGGTGGGAAAATATCCCTAAACTAAATGTGGCTATGTTCTCGCCTAAAAAATATTAAATTCAAGGTCTGAAAGGATCAAACTGTTTCCAAATAGTTTAACTGCCCCCAAAACAAAGTTTAAGATTAACAGAAATACAAAGATATTCAGTACCCAACAAGGCAGAATTGACTGTCTAGCATCCAAAAAAAATTACCATATATATATCTCTCTCTCTATACATATAGATATAATATATGTATGTGTGTATATATATATATATATATATATAT